ATTTTAGTATCTTATGATGAATTTTAGTATTTAATGAATTTTAGTATTTTATCATCCATTGTAATTTAATATATTTTCCTTATATTGGTTTCGTTATCGGTGGTAGAAATGTAATTTGGTTGGTTGTACCAGACTGGTTTAAATAGATGAATTCAAATCCAGCATTTGTGGCACAATCTGTTATTGAATCAATTGTCCAGCAGATTAAACCTTAAAGACTTAAAGACTTAAACCTTAAAGATTAAAGACTGCTATTTGCTTGTTGAGGGAGCCTTTTGAATGGGGCGGTTTCTTTTCAATTCAGAACGTACCTCCCTGCACCTTTCTTTTTATTTATACAATCAAAGTCGGCGACTAAAATCCCTTGCTCTGTACAAGATGGAACGGGGTGTTGAATAAAAGGCAAATGAAGACCCTGCTTTTGAAGGTAAAAAAAGGAAAGAAGACATCTCTCACGATAATCAAGTGGCTGTCATTAGTAAAGCACACTGCAAGTAACCATTGCTTTGAACGTCCTAAAATGATTCGATGGGACGCCGAATTTTCCGTGTGTCGAATCGCATCACCATAATACGGTAAAACTCGCCTATAGTTACGTCATATTATTTCGTTAGGACCTAACCGGATCAACATTTTTTCACAGGGATTTTCGTGTCGTTGCTGATTTTCCACGTTGCTGTATGCAAGGAGGAAGAAAACGAGGAAGTGTTCGCTTTGTAAGCCTTAGAAAGAAAGAATTGACACGACCTTTTCAATAAAACCAAACATAGCGCGGCAATGGTGTCAACATTTGTTTCACTCATATGTTAGTGTAACTTATAGGTTAAGGGTATTAATAAAATCACTGGATGACTGAATAGGCTTTTATTCGGTTAAATATCCATAAATTTATTTCAGATAAAAATGAAAAGAAAAACAAATTCCATTCCTCAGATTGTGTGCTTAAAAGTGGCATTTGCCTTTTCTCTACCACGAATACAGTTAAGAAGATTTCCAAATGATCTCCTACGTTATTATTTAAACCTAAGATAGGTTGATGTATGTCTTGATGTATGTCTTCCAAGATTTTATCAACTTAAGAAATGTAGATGTAGATGTAGATAGGTGAAGCAGACTACAGTATGTCTGATCTTCAAATAAAAAGTTGACTTGGAAGGGTAAAAACACGATTTGACCACCTTCCAATACATCTCGCAATTCGACAAATATACTCCACGACGTGTCGTATTTTCAACTCTCGGCTTCACCGTGTTTGGAAATGTGGTAAGACACGGTCTTTCGTATTTGATATAGTAGGTCACGACCAAGATCAACATACGAGGCCCTAATAGAGAAGACTCGAGATCAAAACTGGGGCTTGAATTGAAATGTTCGTTGCAATTATATTTGTTCTAACTTTCTGATGCCACAGAAGTTTACTTGTTTTTGACGCGCCTTCATTCACATCGGAGAACTGGAAAACCTTCCTTTTAGTAAACGTTTGAAGTTGTCCTGTTTGAACTCAATTCCTGTGAAGAATGCATCGAATACAAAGACCTTCAATTTTTAATTGCTTTATCACTTGTACTCATCACCGATTGTTCATGTTATTGTATCTTTTCCAAATTAATCCCCATGAAGAATGTATCGAACTCAGAAAACTTTTATTCTATCCTAAACTGCTTTATTTTTAACTGCTTTATCACTTATACTCATCAGCGATTGTCCATACTATCGTATATTTCCATTTTAATCATTTGCGTTACCGGACCTACACCACTTTTACATCACGCAATATTGAATATTTTCTTTCATTCCCTGATGATGCCGTAGAACGGCGAAAGCCTGGAATTAAAATACAGTAGCTCAAGGCCTCAATTGAATCGATATATCTATCCTTCGTTTGATTGTTTACACACTCATCCTTCTTCAGGAAAAGTCAGTAATACACAACTCCGGTTTAATTTCCGTCTGTCTGCAAAGTTTGTGCTTTTAATTAATAAATTACCACGAACTGACTCAATCAAATTACAAGGAGACAACTTCATGATATCCTTGCAAACGTTTATCCTTTCATCCATTCGTTGATTTATTTTATCAACAATTATTCAAATCTCATTTTGGAAATACGCTTGATGGGTGGATCTTCATCTGTCTTGAAAACCACTATCGACCTAAAACAAAATGAAAACATAGAGATAATACTATGTAACTATAATACTCTGAATCACTTCTAAAATTACTAAAGGTCCGTAAAATGTTTTAATAGTAAAGCTTTTCACTGTCTTTTAGTGAGTAGGGTTATGAGTATAATTTCGTTATTTGTCTGAGTCTTAATGCTATAAATTGAACTTTTGAAACAATTTAAATTGTTAACTAGAAGCCTTACTGCGTGTACCTAGGCAGTAGTTATACTGAAAAGCACTAGCTATATTGCATTTGAGCTAAATGTTCTGCATTTGAAGCCGTACGAAATTCAATTGCAGCTGTTAGATCGTGGTTCCCTGATCTGCTTAGTGAGAATTAGCGGTAGTCTGAGAGGTATTTCTAAAGGAGCAAGTGGGTGATGAGAAATACGTTAATAAAGTATACACGTAAGTTGTTTTCACGCTGTGAGCATCTAATAAGAATTACTAAATGCCATAACTTTTAAAAGGAGCATGATGGTTTAGAATATTTTCTTTTTTTTTTTATCTGAGAGAACAAACCAAGGTTTTTTTTCAAAATTGCAAATCCCTTCATGAGTGGTTAAAAGGTACAAATAAAGGAAAATTAAATGACAGGTCAAAAATTTCAGTTTTCGTTTTGTTTTACTGTAAACTTAAGGACTATGCTTTGAGTAAAAAATCACTTTCCTTCGCCTGTCGCCCGTCCTTAGCTTGTCAATATCCCCGAGAATAATATTATTTATATGCTATGATGGATTAGCGAGACAAACAGATAACAAAAAAGAATGAAAACTAAAAGAGAATAGGGCTTACCGTTGCAGTTTTTATCAATTCGAGGAAAAAGTCTTATGAGACTAACTAACAAATGGCAAACATGTCAATAGACAGCTAATGATTATCACAGACCCCGCCTCCTCTCTTCCATACATGTAGCTTTGAGGAAAAATCGGAACAAAAAGATCTTCCAAGTCAGTCGTCCAAATCTGCAGCAAAATATTGCAGTGTTCGATCTACGAGATAATTAAGATTTATTTTAATGACACAGAAAAGTAGTTTAAGTCTTCGCGTAGAAAACCATATTAGTCTACATAATTACTAAATCGTAAACTCGTTCAATAATTTTCCCCCAAAAAAATGTGCGCTTCAATACGCGACTCTCCACCACCCCCACAAGTTTTATATCTATATTTTTGGGGGGATTATAGAGCGTCCTATCGTTTAAATTTGGTTCCTATCTTAGTTCATATTATTTTTAGACCACAGATGATTTCAGAAGGGCAGCGCAGGCTTTTGCAGCTTTCCCATTACTCTAGCACTAGTTTAATTTCTGTTTTACGACGCTGTGTTTAGACACTATTTTCAACAATTATTCCTATGTATTTTTATAAATTTTATAAATATATATAAGCCTAAAGATAGTATAAGCCTGACCTCTTACGACAGGCAAATTCTTCCCAAAATAACCCCACTGAGCTAATATTAAGACACCCAAAAATCCTTCTCTAACAGAAAATAAACCAGGAGCTTTTTGCTCGATCTTTATGACTGAGCAACTAAACAAATAGTTAGCACGTTTTTAAGCAAATGCCAAGGTTATTTAAAACTAGGTATCGCAGATTTAATACAAAAAAATTAATAACGCTCTTTAAAGGTTTCTTTCCGATATTGGTTTGATTTGATGCGTCAATATTATGTACATTTTAAATCACTTCCTTGGCAACTGAATAAATGGATATAAATCAAAAAAGATAAAAACTTTTTTTTTTTTAACAAAGCTCTCATCAATATACAAAACTGAAGTAGTTAATCTTATAACACTTGTTGTCATTGCCGCAACCTAAAATAAGAGAGATAAACCAATTTAAGACACTTCTTTTTTGTGTGTGAAATATAGTAGTGCATTATACCCACTATCTTGTAACAAAAAGAATCCCACGAATACATAATACAGTAGGTATAGTGAAATGAACTTTTGGGACAAATCAACGAGTTGCATAAAAGCAAACACTTGCATATGTCAAAATTATGTTCGGAAAAGCCTACCTTTTATGTTAAAACCTCTTTGTACCGTTTGCATGGTCACTTGTTAATCTGCAAACCAATAACGATAATCTTTACACCAGCGCTTCTTCGAAAACCAGTTACCGGTGGCAAAACTTTAATTTATCCTGAGAAGGTTTGATATCGAATTTGAACTCCTGAACTAATGTAGAAAACTGAAAATGAAATAACTCATTCCGGAAGAAAATAAAATGAAAGTTCCATGTTCAGCTGAGCTGACATCATGTATAAATACTGGCATACATCAAAGATGCTAATTATTTTTTTTCAATAAAGTTACATCATCAAAACTAAATATTAATAAACAGTCCATTTGATGACATTTTCATGGCCATTCAACAAGAAAGCGACCATCCAAATTAAAAAAATTCTTTGAGAATGTATTACTTTTGGTCAAATATTGCTTTTATGAATTTATACCGTCTAATATCTGACGAAATTTTCACTTAATTTTAATACCACATGCGATATCTTTTATCGATCTTCTGGCTAACTAAGTAAGTGGAAACTTGCAACGAAAGGAAAGCTATTTAATTTGCTACCCTCTAGCCTAACTAAGAATTTGCCTGCTTGGTTCTAGCTCCTTTTATCCAAAATTTCCAGCAAGTCTGTGTTCAGAGAAGCTGAATGTAAAACATTGCTTATAAAAAGAAATGAAACATAAATTAAGCCCAGAGTATCACAATTGCATTACCAGTTGCCATGCAAAAGCTTTTTCCAGCACCGCTCGTGATCCTATTTGCCTCTCTCTTTGCATCAGACAAAGGAGTAAATGACCAGGATTTCGCTTTGGTAAGGTCTGGTTAGAGAAATTGGGTCCATTTTGTGTGTGAATATATATTTAGATAATCGTCCATGGTAGCCCGTGCCTATCAAAGCTATTCTAGACGAGCTACTAACAAAGTAAGGGTTAATCTGTGTTACCTTAAGTGTTAGTCTTAGGAGATGGTGCTGCATTGGTGCAGAATTAAAACAACAGGGTTAATATTGTCCATCTTGCAGGAGTTGTTGATTTTTGTTTGAATTTTTTTTTTTTTTTTCGTTTTTTTCTTGCGGAAATTCCTCCAACAATGTAATTACATGTCAACAACCCGATCCGGTGATCATAACACAAAGACAGCAATCAAAAAGTTCCAGGAATTCTTTGGTCTGCCAGTGACCGGTGAACTGGACGACGAAACCTTGAGCGAGATGAAGAAGCCCCGCTGCGGAGTCCCGGATATTCATGATAATATGAGAAGAGTGAAGCTAATAAACCATGGAGGTAGTCTACCTAAGTATTTTCTCTACAGAGGACAGGATACGAAGGTCTTTAAGTACTGTAGCGATGTAGCACTGAAGCTTCAGTTTACTAAGACGAAGTCCACGCGCGATGCTGACTTAAAATTTAGGTGTGTCAAGGGGAGATGAATGGTTACAGAGTTAATATAGGCTCTTACTTGCAAGATAAACCCGCTCAAATTATTTTCAGATACGGTATCTAGTTGTCCCACAGAGAATGATACCACTCGCTTAGCGTAGAGGTTTTCATGGAGGCTTATAAAATCAGACTGCCTAGGATCTGCTATCTCTAGAGCCTCCAAGGATTCCTTAGGTCGCAGTGATCTAAAAAAACAAACCTTGATGGGGGTTATTTTAGGAATAAGGCCTATATCGGGAATTGATTCCCTACCCTTTCAACTTCTCTTGGGTATGTCAAAGTCTCCTGTGAGACCATGCACTCGTTATTCATTGGGTTAAGAACAAGTTGATGGGGTCTGTCCTGCATCAAAAAACGTACATGACTCAAAAGTGCTTGCCATTGTTGTTTCAAAATTTTCTCATAACTTGGCATCAATATTACATTTTATTCCCATTCGTTTTCATCCTTTTGTTTTGTTTTCTAATAGTTTTGGGAAAACGAGACATTCTGGAACGCAATATGAGCCACTGTGTACAACGGTTTTCGACGGTAAAGGTGGCATGGTAGCCCACGCATTACCTCCGAGAGATGGACGAACTCATTTCGACGATGATGAGTATAAGCTGTAAGCTTTCATTCATATCTGAGATTCGTTTAGCTTTTCCTTTGTAAATGAAAGGTACTCACGATGAATCAGTACACAGCTATTGTTGTTGTTGTTTCTGCTACAGTTCCCTTTCACGTGCTTCCATATGCGCTTGTGTAAAAATCAGTTCAAGGCTCTTACAAACTAGAGAGTTTCATAAGAAAGCTACGAGCAAGTTCCGTCTCAGTTTTGGTTTGCTCATAAATGTTTAACTAATTGTTAATACAGCAGAAACCCGCGTGTAACAACCTGCTGACAGAAGTTTACTTTTTTAAAACCCAAAAATATAAGAACATGTTTATTAAAGGTAAACTATGAACTCTTGGAAGTTATAGAGGCAACACTATATAAACATTCTGTAATTAGTTGTTTTAAGCTTATCAGGATAAAGTTGTCAAAAATACTGTATATTTAAATACGAAACCCAAGTCTATTTCTGGTAATCAACAACCATATCTCCTTCCGAGAAATTAAGAGCCAAATAAGATCCTACCTAGCCTAAATTGCAAATAAGTACGCGGTTTTTAACTGCAGTTTTCTTTTTACTCTTCAGATTGGCGGATGGCGTGCATGCTGCTGACTTCTTGGGAGACGCACGTTGAAGTCAACCAAAGAACGCTCTTTTTTTTGTTGTATAAAAGTAAAACGGATTTGGAATAAAGGGAAGAAAAGAAAATATCTGAAAACGTGTTTGTGTCGTAAGTTTGTTCAATCATGCAATGACAGGCCTTCTTCGCATATATTTATTTATTTTTATTCTGTTCATTCTTGAAGTCATTTTCACCCTTTGTCCTATCTTATTCTAAAGCAAAACAAGTCGTAATTCTAAAACGTCTCATTGGGGACGGGTTCAAGTCCCGCTTAGACCACTTAGCTGGAGTTGTTTCTCGGTAGACCCTAGTTCAGCTGCTCGGTCATCCTTGGAAATAGCCAACTAGTCTACCTCCTACCAGTTGGGATTTTTCAGCCTACTATGCATGCTTAGCTGATATATTTCTTTCTTTCATTTTAAGTGGCATGCCTGTGAACTAGCTACACGTAGCTACAGCTGTAGTTATGCGTATTGATCGCTGTAAACAACAACCTTTGACCTTTTTGAACATTTTTTTAACTGTTGTTTTCACGCGTGGCGTCAAATATAACGTTATACCTTAAAAAAAGTTAAGGATTAAGTGAGAGGACCGCTGTAGAAATTTATAATAATCGTACAATTGGCGATAAATTTGTCCAGTCTCGCTCAAATATATAAGTATTTAATATGTAGAGTAACGTGATGAAACCTACATTGTAGGTAAAAAAAGTTAGTATTCAATATATCTCGTTTTGCCCATTTTAGTTTCGAGAGTTCTATCTCCTTCATTAATTTGCCGTTGTTTTCGATACATTTGTTTTGACCGAAGTGTAACGGTATTCAATTTGACATATACCAATTAAAATTATCTTATTAAATACTTCTCCAGCGCAACATTCTGGACGAATTCTGAACTTATTAAATGCACTATAGTGAACGTAACGGCACAATTACCCACAGAGAAACATTAACCTGAGATTTGAGGCTTAGCCTGAACTAGTTAAGTGTTGTTTTTATAGGAGTATTAGTATCATACTTTTGTTGTCAAAAAAAAAATGATCGGCCTTTGTCGCCAAAGACTAATATTGTTATAAATAAATACACTTTGCCAGTCTAACTTAAGCAAAGTTACAACATGCCTGTCTTCTATCGTTAAGTAGCATCTCACTCTTGAAAAACGGATATGTCATTTATCTCTATTTTTGCCTTAACTTTTTGTCTTGCATAACAAAACTTCAGTTTGCACGTGCAAATTCCAGTGTTCACCAGAAGCGCTTTTAAGGAGCAATATGATCGGGGCTATATTGGGTCCTTATTAGATTCGTATTTGGTCAGTAATTAGTCCTTATTTGAGCCACATTAGTCGAGACTGAAAAAAATATGCAATATCAGATATCATATTGCATAAAAAGTATTAGGTTTTATTCAGTGTTGAACTGGTTAAGTGTATCTACTGGTGAGCAGGGAAGGTCGGTCATGCTTCTCCCCTTGGTGTTTTTGTGGTTGCTATTTGTAGGTGGCACAGTAGGTGAGGTTGACGACAACGAGGACGAAACAGAATTTGCCTTGGTAAGTTCACAAATTAATAGAATAGCTAGTCATGGTATTTTCCTTTTTTCTAATTTTTTGACACTCATTAATTGACCAAAATTTACTTTCTCATCACAATTCCAATACGTTATCGAGTATCCAGGTAGCAAGAATAAAAAAATATCATCTCAGGGATTTCGACTTGATGAGCAAACAAATTCTCACAACTTATACAAAATAAATGAATCATATTTAGTAATGAGAGTTACCCTTTCAATATCATTACGGGAGTGTTAAAGCGGCAGAACTGGGAGGAATTGTTTGTTGGTTATCGCTTATGATAGAACAACATTGGCCAAGACGAAAGTAAACTGAGAATGCATTAGAATTGCAACTATATTATCTATAAAGCTGGCATGAGAAAAACCTCAGACTTTCACATACATGGACAGACTTTATTATAAAACCAATACTTTCGATGGATTGAGATTTCAAAACCACTGAACGTTTGTCAAATAAAACACGTTGTAAGCCTAGCGAGTCAGTCAGTGTTTTACTTTTCTATCGCCTTAATGCAATCCAGTTTGATAATTATGGAAAATTTGACACCCCTCGAATTTCCATTTTTTTTAATTTAAACCACAGAGGACAAAATATTCTTAAGTGTACGTTTGCCAGCATAATACTGTATCGATATTTCATCGTGCTCTTGATCGATGTGAAAATGTTTTAGATTTTCCCACGATCCGCGTTGAAAACGTAGTTGTTGATTTCAATGTTGGATTGATACAAATATGGAAGATTGTAAACGATGATCACTTCAGGATGGCTTGAAAACAAGCCGTGAGAATAGATATTTATTTGTATGTGTGTCGTATCACTGCGATATCAGCATCAGAACAGATATTGCATTAAAACATTCCCGTCAAATTGAAAGTTCGTTTTAACTCAGAGAGTTTGCTTTCCTTTAACAGCATTATTTACAACACTACCACTACCTTTCATCTGACAACTCTAGTAACCACAACACCACAGAAGCAATTGAGACCTTTCAGAAGTTTTTTGGCTTGTCCGTTACCGGGGAGCTGGACGCGGATACATTGTACGTAATGAAGAAGCCACGCTGTGGTGACCAGGATGTGGATGGCGATGGAATGCGCGTGAGAAGATACGCAACATTTAGCAAATGGAGTAAAACAAATTTAACTTATTATTTGTCTTATGGCGATGATATGACAAAGGCAGATCAGGACAGAATCATAGCCAGAGCGTTTAAATACTGGAGTGATGCGGAACCAACGTTAAAGTTTAACAGAACTTACAACTACAATAAAACCGACATTAGAGTCAGGTTAGGTTATTTCTTATTCACGACTATACTTTGAACTTTGAACTTTGATTATATAAGTCATGCTTTAGCATGCACTATCAAGTTGGTATGCAAGCGGAAACTCTGGAGAACACGAAAGAAGCAAAAGCGTCGCTCGAGACGCAGCCGAGGACAATTCGCAAAAAGTATGAATCAATTCTCCTTTCTGCATTGCCAACGGGAAAAATAAAAAAATCTTACCCGACCAGAAATGGGGCAGATCGATTGGATTTCAGTCATTTTTCTAGCTGAATTTGTTTTATTATTAACACAGGTTTTATCTAACAATATAATTAAAATTCTGGCGAATTTGCAAACACTTTGAGCGAGAGCATTCACCACTAAATTAAGATGCGCACTTTCTTTCGTGTGCTAAAGGAATTGCCAGCTAGATTATGATGTATTTCTATTTAGTGCCAAAGCAGTTTTTAATAACGTCCTAAAATCATCATATTTGTGTAAAACGTGCTCCGCCACGTCGTAGACAAGCAGGTACCAGTATCTGACTATAACATAGCACAGCAAGGAAGATCTTGAGGCTACAGATGATAAATCATTTATGTAATTTATGTAAGCAAGATATGCTTCTCTGTTTTAGAACTTATGTTATCCTTTGTTCTATGTATTTTGAACTGATTTTTTTCTCTTTGTTTCCTCCCTTTTTGATTCTATATGAAAGTCTTCGAGAATTGATTAGTAACATAGTAACATCCTAATAAACTGGCTTGTTCCAAGGGTCTTTCCTTCCAAGGAGCAAAAGAGAGCCTGGAAAGGAGCTTGAGTTCCTATTCCATTTGCGCATTCTCGATATTGGACTCTAACTAACTGCCAATGGAGGTCCATGCGGGGGTATATCACTGCAAAGGGCAAAATGTCATCAGACTCCCCTCGTTAGCCTCAGTTTCATGCTAGTTACAGTCCAGTGCCGAGAATTTTTTTTTTTGCAAATATCTTTAGCTCATGGTGTTTAATTCATTCTGCACAAGGGACTGGTTCAGAGACACGCCAGGACGCTGTCAGTAACAATTTTAACACGTTTGACATGAGCAGGCGATAATTTGATGTTATGAATTGTGAACTGATATGATTCAAATATATTCAACTTCTTTATATTTTTCAGTTTTGGAAAAAGGAGGCACCGTGGCGTTCCAGGTGAAAAGCCGTGTCCTTATCCCTTTGATGGACCCGGTGGAGTAGTAGCGCATGCCTATTTTCCATCTGCAGGAAAACTCCATTTCGACGATGACGAACAATTCACTGAATTTGGTAAGAAAGTCACAGGCTGGTGGTGGAATCGCCGACAGTCAACTGGACTGCTTTACACAGCTGTTCATGAGATTGGTCATGTCTTAGGTCTAAAGCACTCCGACGTTCAGGAAGCTGTCATGTGGCCTTTAGCCAAGAGTGGCACGCCAGTACTACACCAGGATGACATTGACGGGATTCGCTCATTATATGGTATGTGAGAAAAAAAAAAAACGTGCATCTTAGCTTAGTTGTTTCGTTGAATCCACAATTACAGTAGTTACTATTGCAGTAACTGTAAATTATATTAAACAGTTAGATTATGAGCTCGAGATTGTAAAAAAGTCAAGGGTGAATAATTTAATTATTTTGGTACAAATCTTTGCCTCAACTAATAAACCATATAAATCTTCTCCTTATACTCTTCAAAAACACAAAGAAGCGAACCGCAATTTGGTACCAGACGCACAATGCTAGGCTACTCATTACTTTCAACAGAATTGATAGTTGGTAGCGTGGCCAATAAGAGAACGATGATTCTATTTATACTTATTACCTGAGGATTTAGCGCGAAATCGCCTACTTTGCCCGTTTTTTTTTTAATTTATAGCTATCTGATCCCCTAATTTAAAACTCATTTAGATGCAGTTTGCTAATAAATCTAAAGATGTGCTATTTCGATTTCAGGGTCTTCGCCGACTGCAGATTAAAATTGTACAAGATTCAAGAAAATTCTTCATTCCTAAAGAATTACGAAAGTTACTCCACCTAATGAAAATAATAAACTGAAAAAATATTATATTTTTTCTAACGATTTAAATGTACTATAACTTGAATTATTTTGTTTGTTTGTTTGTTTTTGCGTTATATTGCAGTTTTGAAATGTACACGAATATGCACATAAACATGAAAGTTAGAGATCTTTCTTCAGGAGGGGAAAAACCTAAGAAAACTAAATACGGGCTACTTTGAGTTCTACTGTTCTTGTCGTATCTTTCAAATATTCAGCGTGAAAAGCCCACATATGGATTTTAGAACTTTAAGTTTAAACCTTTTAAACCTTAATTGCTTGTTTTGATAAGGCGCAAAAAGCAAAATTTTCGAGTTACTTTTGCCTCTATTTCAAAACTACCTTTTTGTGCAAAACCTTTCAAATGAAATTGAGCTTGATTTGCATGAAAATGAACCTGTGGGGGAAACTCATTGTACTATAAATGGTTTCGCAACAAGACTCAGAGGCAAAAGGCAACTCGTAAATGGCCTATTTGGAGCAATGAATCAGACACCAGGAATAATGACACGTTTATAAAATTAACCATCGGGCTTACATAGAGGGAGAGAGAGTGGAAGCAACTCCCCAGAGACCCTTGCTGAATTTTCAATTTGCTGTGAGATGTTAAAAATTTCGATAGCTGTTTCTTCAACCTTTTGAGAAGTGTTAAGTGCAGTCCACCGTTTCTCTGTGTTATTTGACATAATTATAGTAGCAACATTTTGTTTTTCTGGGTAGATTATTCAGTCTTATTGAGCAGCATTGCAGTAACAGTAGTGAAATATTATCTTATTGAGTTGCATGCGTTTGTTATATATTATGGTCTAATTTTCCATCAAGTTAGGTAATGTTTTGTATACCTTGTACCATTTGCTTCTACGTCAGAGAGTTGTTAATGCCATAATAAAGACTCTTTTCTTCACTGGAATATAATAATCGCCGGCGATAACTAGTCAGCGGCAAACAACAATTTATTAGTACCTTCCAATATTTCCTGGGATTTATGTGTACAGCGGCCACTCACGGGGAAATGGGAGGTGGCCGCTTAATAGGGGATGGCCGGATAATAAGGGCTCGTCAGAAATTAGCACTAGAGGAGCCCAAGTACAAACTTCAATTTATTCAAGTAGAAGCATGCTTTATGGCATCATGGAATCACGTAAAGAGAACAATAAACGTGTGTTTGAATGTTTTTATCAGTGTTCACTTTCTATTTAAGACTCTCAGTATCTGTCATCGCCATTTCTAAAACAAAGCCAAACTACGTGTATTAAATTTTGGATGGCCGTTTGATCAGGGTGTAAGGACAATAGAGAACCACCAAACCGTGGCCATGGCCGCTCACAACGGTGGCTGGTGAACAGGTTCAAAGTTCCAACACCCTACCAATGAGCATGAAATTGCAACCTTTATTGGCACTTGTATTACTATGTAATTTGTCTCTTCTTCTATTAGAATTTATAAGGAAAAGGTGAACACAATCTTCCTCCCCATAAAGATGCTTTTTTTTAACCCGCAATGAAAAAAAGAAAGAACAGGTTCTAAAAATGGCTTTCCAAGCAAGCATTTTTTTTTTATTAAGGTTTTTCCTCGTCAATCAATCGAATGATTTGGTTGAAGGTTTTAACGTAACTGTTCGATAACCTGGCAAGTGGAATTTAGGTGACACGTAGCTATAATTCCTTTAGTTATGATTATGTCGATTACAAAGCGTTCCTCGATTCCGTTTTAGTTATTAGAAATCAAATTTGGATACACAAAGATTGAGTATTACACGCCATTGCCTGGTGCCTTAACTAACGGCCATTTGGAAAACAAAAAGACAACGAAGGGAAAATTTCGAAGGACAATCATTTCTAATTTTGAATCAAAGAGTAAAGAATTAAATTGAATTGCTCTTACATTTGCTTTTCTGACATTTGTTTCAAAAGCACTTAAATCGCATTGTGATTCTTCTCGAGTTAAACTTTAATTCCTCATTATAATGTTCTGGTTAATGTGAAAATTTGATACCCATATAAGTTAATTACAATATATTTGTTTAACGTAGTCGGCACACTAAGCTTCTATAAATGATATGTGACAGCTATTTAACAGGTACACGTGCATTGACACAAAAAGTCATAATTACTAAATCATCTTTGAAAGATCAAGTCTGCCGCTTAATGGACATATATATAATTTTGTAAGAGCTTCATTAAAACCATATACGACATAATGAGCTTTTTAAATTAATCTTCATTGGGAAAGACCACGGAAGTGTAGTCGACGTCGAATGTTTGTCAGTGACTTACTGAAGTGTCTAAGCGAATTTGATTACAGTATAGTGAACTCTTGAAGAAATTTTATCTTGCTCGATTTATTTGCAGATTTCCTTCACTTCTCAAAATCAGCTAGTTTTCTTTGTGGTTCGTGTAAGCAACAAAAATTTTTTATTACATTAACTAGCCGCAGAATGGCAATGCCTTTCATTTTTGCGAATAGCCATTACTTTTTGACATCATCAATTTTCTTGATATGAGAAAAAAAAAACGGCGAAATTTGATACGACGACAATTTTCTGCAATAAGATGAATGCCTCGGGGTTAAGGTAATCGAATTGTTCTAATAAACCCTTTGCACGAGCCGGCACAATTTTTTGTAATGAATATACTGAAGTCTTAAGTAGACCCAGTTCCATGGTACAAAATAAGCCATGCTGGGCAACAAATTGCACAATGAGACTTCCAAAACAAAGGAATTCGCCCAAGTCCAGCTTAAAATTTGACTTGCCTTGTTTTGGAAGTCCCACAGCGTAATTTGCGTCCCAGCATACATGCCTGATTTTGTGCCAATTACCCGGCCTGGGTCATCTATAACGCCTAGTTTAGAAATTGGGCCATTAGTTTTCTTCCTAGACAATTATATACTTCAACCGCTAATGGAGGTCTTTCCACGTTCTACTTAACACTTCATTTCTTCATTCCAAAATTTGCTTTTCGATAAAACATATATTTTCTTTTTCGCGTGGATTGTTGGACTTCACTTTTAGCTTCCAATGGATTTGTCTAGAAAGGACCATTTAGACGTAATTACAACTCAACCAGCGATCTCAAGAATCTGAAGAAGAATCCAATTTCGTCAAAAAAAATTAAAGAATAGCATGAACGTGCTGATGAAGTTATGCAATTTCAAGAGTGTGGTTTGAAGCTGGCTTAAATGGACGACCATGACCTTGGCACAGAAAATAAACTCCTTTAATCCGATGTCTTTTAATCACTAAAATAAAATGTAATTAATCAAAACGATAAATTACGCATGAATAGCTCATTATCAAGTGTAGAAATTTATATAAAAACAGCTTTACACAGGGAAAGCCACAGTGTATCTTGAGACGCGATCAAGAGGACTCACTATTTTGAGCGCGGCATCCACAAAGCTCGATGGCAAAGATTCAAGCAATTGTTGTTTTAGTTGGCATGCTGTTGGTCGCCACGCTTTTGGTTGACAGAACGGCTTGTTTTGTCACAAACACCAAAAGAGAGGAAATTAAGGTAGGGACGACAAGTGAAATTGTAAAGAGAAGTATAAATATAATGTATTGTGAAATTTGCTTATTCGGCATCAGTTAAATCTAATTTTTAGGCAATGATTTCGAGTAAAATAAGACATTATAACAAAAAACGTTTTTAAACCTGTAGTATTTGCACCATGAATGAAGATTTCTTCTCATGTTTCTCTGTACTTCGGTGCACATGCGAATTCATTTCGTATACCGCACCCACCACCGCTTGAAGTGACTGCGGAGTAGCCACTTTATTTAGTCCATCTGAAACTGGCTACGTCAGTAAAAATAACACAAAGCTGCAAATAAGATTGAGTGGAATTTAAACGAAACGACGCTTTTCGCTCTATCTATTAAGAATTCAGTAATCGTAAAACGTAATTTCCCGCCAAACCGTTCATGTCAGTAGAGATACGTTAAGAGCTCAAAGGAATCTCTGGTTGATAAATTGAAGTGTTAGCGTGATGATGGAATACGTTAGGGAGCAATTTTGAGTACGTAAATATATTATCCGGCACTCTGACTTGAACAGGCAAAGTTTTTGTGGCCGAACATTAGCTTGACACCCCAGACAACCACCGCAGTTAATTTGTTTTAGAGTGGCGCCCAACTTTCTCGGGACCAACAGTTGATCGATTAATTGGCTCTTCCCAGAGGGATGTGCGAGAGGGGGATTTCAGACATATTATAGCTTCATGAAGTGCCCTCGTTTCAACTCCGTACGTGTCAAATTTTCTACTGAATGTGGCCATATAGTTATGTATTTGATGTTTCCTAGATGGTGCGAATGACGAGAAAGATCTGTAAAGTAGCAAGATCCTTAGACTGTGGGAAGGGAGGCCTGCAGAAGAGAGAACTCGGAGATCTTGAGGAGAGCACCATAGAATGAACATGCCTGGTTAAAAAGAGTAAATTAGATTGTAACAAGTGGCGATTGATAAATGCATAAGTCGACAGATAAAAGTAAATTAAAATATGTAAAATGAACAAGTGCCTCGCAATACAAATATATATAAATATTAACTCGAACTTGAGTTATTCGTGGCAACATTGCCAGTGAATATATCTCACCTATGTGAATCTTACATATGCTGGGTCTGTCACCTTATTTTACCGTACCAATAAATCAAGAGAGCGCGCAGGTTTTTCGATGATTAAGGGAAGAATTCATATAACTTCATGATTTCATTGCGGGCACATTTGGAGCCCTCATTTTAGTCCAAGGGGAAGCGAGGGGCACTTGAATAAGAACAACTTTAAATTTTCATTACTCGCAACGAAACTGTTGAATCCCGATCAGTGATGAACAAATACCCACAAGTCACAATAATGATAACTCACCACATATATCAGTGGGGAAGGGAAATAAAGACAGCGGAATTTGCTGATTCATTGCTCTAATGGTGGTCAGCAAGATCATTACTTTTTTTTTTTCAATGTTAAATAACTCATAAATCCCCTTGTTTATTACATAAAAGTAAAGCGTGCGCGAAGTTTAAAGAAAAAAGTTGCTAGCTGACTATCTAAACACGTAGGGGCCAAACCATCCCCCAAATGTTTCGTCAGTTCTTGGGTATTTCACATTATTTCGCATTTCTTAAAAAGTATTGACTCTTTCTACACCAAACTTGGCAGATGAGCAGGAGACCTATTGCCAATTATATTTANTCAAGGGGAGTTGAAACCTGAAAAAATTTTGTCCATATCACAAAAATTAAATGAAATATGGTATTTTTAATCATGAAAAATAACTCTGCAAAATATGGGGTCCCCCACTTGAGAAAAATCCCCAAACTGGAGCCGTAATTTTTTTCCAGCAAATACAGCTATGTTGCATATGTTATGTGCCAGATGACTAAAGCAAAAATAAAGAAGAAAATCGGAATAAAAAATTATCGCTCTAGTGTTATTGCGTTAAAATTAGTTTTGTTACGTCATAACCTGTGACGTCACCCGCTTTTTTACTGTTAATACCATCTTAACAAAGCCCAAAATCAAATTTCTAAAACCATACGATTTTTGACATCAAGCTTTCTATTTTTCTAGATTATTAGCCTTCCTAGGAAAAAACTGAAAAAGATAAACCAGAGAGACTGACTTAAGAAGGACAGTGTGGTTAAGCAAATTCCGGGGGGGACAGCAAAAAATATTTGATTTACCATATCTCGAAAAATAATCACCATAGCAAAAAACGGTTTCCGGCATTTTACTCCTCAAGTCAAGGCCCTTCTAATGAAATAATCTTTACATCAAATTTTACAAAAAATTATAGCACGTTTTGGTGACGTCATCAATTATGACTTCATAATCTGACATTTTGTCACAACTTCCAAATTAAAATAAACTGGAGAACAAAGAAAGCTCATCTGCCAAACTTGGTTCAGAAATATATAAACCAAGCAAATATTGCCTTCATGAAACATTAGGGGGGTGGTTTGGCCCCTACGTGAAAAGGCGATTAATTTCATGTTTAAGCCAGGAGGTAAATATCCCGATAACAGCCTAAGTGGGTGTTATAATCACGAAATTGTTCAGTTGATAACATTTTCAATTTGAACATGTCTTACAACAATTTCAATTAGATTGTTTCGTGCGTATATGCTGCAATTGCGACCAGTTTTAAAACTTGACATGTTAGATTCCCGACACTTGCGTTGGCTCTTTTAGATAAGTATTCAATAGCAAGACATCTTGAGCTCATGGGATTGCAAACAAGTTTACAAAACTAACTTCTAGGGAACAACTACAGCATTTCTGATTTTGCCATAAGCAACTGATCTAGCAAGGCGTCTTTCAGAATTTGACAAATTTGTCAGGTTTAGATAGCTGATAAAATCCGGATTTTAGGAACGGAAAATATATTTTTTTTATTAGACCAATTGCTCCAATTGCACCAATTTTTTTTATTAGACCAATAGACCAGCTCGGCTGGTGATGCAGATCTACTTTAATCTTCCAGCTAGCTTTTTTATGAGTAATTCGCATGCATCATTTGCATGGAACATTACACTTAGTTCTTTCTGATAAAATTGTCAGAAATAACTTATTGTTTTGCTTTATATTTTCTTTAAGGAACAGGTTTTTGTTTTGAATAAGTGCAAATCAGTCAGAACTAGTATGGACTTCGAAGATTTTTTTTTTTCGGCGAGAGGTAACTCTGTAGAAACTTATTCTGTTCATCGTATTTATCTTTTTTTATTTGTATTTTTACACGCAAAACTGATTCGCGAATCTACCCTGACCATCGAGAGTACCCACGACCAGCAAAGCTTAGGCCCGTCCACACTTGGCAGGTGGGATTTGAATACGGAGATTTCACACTGACAACGCACCAAATGTCTTCCGTCCACACTATATACACTGGAGGAATTTAAAAACGCAACAATCACCGGTCATTTTTAATTTGCGCTTGAGGAAAATTCGGACGGAGAAATCACATGATTATGGTGACGTTCAGTTTTCGAAAGGCTCCGCTTCAAAAATGTGTCCGTCCACACCAAAACGAAAACGCAGCGTTTTCAAATTCCTCCGGTTTGACTGAAGAGCGTTTCGTCGAAAAGCTTCGTTATCGTGACGGATTAGTGTGGACGGTAGGCCTGACCGTAGAAATAAAGCTTCGTTTTCAAATTAGACCCTTAGATCCTCCGGAACGTTTCTACTTTTTTTGTAAAGGTTTGATACCATGGTTAATGGGATAACTTTTTATAATTTTTGACAAAAAATGCACACTAAGGTCATAGTTAATGGAGGTTAACTGGCAAACGGAACGTTTCGCGAAGTGTTGAATAGAAAACAAAACAGCTCAATTTATCGTGTATAACTCAAATTGAAGTACAATCAATACTGCCCGATTATCAGCTCAGAATATGAAATAATATTCAAGAAAAGTAAAAACAAAAAGCAATTGCATTTTCGACGTGCACACAAAACTCAGTTTTAGCATACTGAAGCAAACTGATATACCGCTGTTCGATAAAATGCATAGTTAATAAAGGGGACTGGTTATGAAGCCCGGCAAACATCAAAGGTGCAAACAAAGATGCCAAGATTTATGTTGGAAGGTCCACGACCGTGCACAATCTTTTGTATTGCGCTCATACACTACGCATGAATTTCGTAGCCAACACGTGTCAACTGGTTAGTTCCTCAGGACGGAGTAAACAACTATTGTGTTTTGTGCGCGGTTATGGCCAAAAAAGTGAACAAAAACATATAGCAAAGAACTTTGTCGGGTTTCATAATCATTCCCCTCTATTGACTATGATAAAATGTAAGTCTTTACGGAAGCCTGGTTTGCCTAACTTTGAATTAATTTACGATCGGATATTCAGCCCAACACGTGAAAAAACTTTCAATTACTTTTATTTTTTCAGCGGTCGTAATTTTTAAAAAATCGCCCTTATGATCATAGATAACAGAATCGTTTGCAATTATTGTTACTTATACTTATTTCCTATAGATGCACTTATCAAGTCACTTATCAACTCTGTCATCAGATATCCGTTAATTTTTCTCCGCTGACAGCTTATTGGTTCTCACTCGTAGCAAATAAATATTTTTCTTACAAAACAGGTTTGCGTTCGTTGCGTCATCACCTCTTATATTCCCTATCTCGAATCAATATATTTTCTGTGGTCAACAAAGCATTAGGGATAACAGAAGGTATTATATTTCCCTTACTTACTTTTCAAGATTTTAGGGGGTTGGTATTTGTTTATTTTCAGCAACTTATACAGAACAAACCCATTATGTTCTATAGAGTACTTTTAGTGATATTTTATAGGAAAGAAGCTTTTAACGGTCAAAATATCGGAGGTGGGTTAAGGACGTGAAGCTGTAACAACTAAGCTCCTCCAACGAAAAGATTTATTTTATAAAAATCTATATTTACCACGAAGATTCAAACGTATATATCAGGAAATCGAACGATTTTTTTTTTGTTTTAGACTTGGTCCATTAAGCATGTGAATAGTTCCTATTTTTTCAGCGGCGGGTCAAAAATTTCGATTTTATGTTTCCATTTGATGCTTATTATTATTCAAAGAGCTGCAATCATCAGCTTAGTTTTAAGAAAGAAGTTGTTTCAAACACAGCGCTTTTAAATATATGAAACCGCAATTCTCGGCGCCTTCATGGTGATTTCTTCAATAGAAAATGATAACATACACCTGCGTGGTCACTGAAGTTAATATTGTTTCCTATAAACATAAATTTCGATTAATTTAGCGAGAACACTTTGCATTTTGCTTTGTTTCCATCAAATTTTCAGAAAGAACTAATGGTTTAGTTGGTTTATTTTCCATTTTCTCTAAGGAACATATTTTTGTTTGCATCTTTTAAAGAAAGTGGTTGTGTACACAACTGTAAGAGGGTCATTCTATTTTTTCATATTTTTTTCGCATTTCTTGATTATTTAATTTTTACTTTACAAATAATATTTGATTAACAACAGAGTATAAATCATATGAAATGAGCGTTACCGGGAAAAGTTCTTCATCCATTATTTTTGACCTTTTTTGTTATGTTTCCGAAAAAAGAATAAATTAGAGAGTTTTGCAATGTTTGTTTCATCTGGTAAAAAATTTCAAGCGGAAAAAGCAAGACATTATCGTGCAATCGGAAGTGACAAATCGGCGAGTTTGGCTTGATTTTATCTTTGCCAGTAACATCTGAATCAAGGATAAGACAAAAGAGGTTTGTGGACCGAGCGGATGGAGTAAGGCATTATCCTCTTAATGCAAACTTTCTATGCCCTTTGTGAAACATTGCGACCTTAAGACTTTAAATTAAAGTTAATTATATCTGCCACAAAGAAAAACTTCAATTCCACATACATTAAAACCAATTTTTGACTTGCTTTTAGGCATCAAGCACTGATATTACTTAGCTCTCTCGGTGAGTGCATTTTTTTTTTTTTTTTTTTTTTTTTT